GGACTGGCGGCGGCGCGTCGTCGTCGTCGCCGCTGTCGCATAAGACGACGACCTCGTCTTCAACGCGGCCGCGTCGGCGCTCCTCGAAGCGGCACAGGGCGGCGCGCTGGCGTTCCTTCTCCATCTCCCGGCGCGCCTTCTCCATCGCAATGGAGTCCTGGCGCGCCCATTCTAGGACCGCGTCGTCGTCGTCGAACTCCGCGTCCACCGGCGCCAGCCCCGGCTCCGTCTTCACCGGCGCCAGCCCCGGCTCCATCTTCGGCTTGACAAAGCGTGGAGGAGCCGACGAGAAGGGGGCGCACCGGCCGCCCTCGTTGATGACGATGCCGACGCTGCGAGTGCGCCGACCGATTGGCGTCTCCGCCGCGGGCTCAGCCTTGACGCCGAGAAGCGCCGGAGAACCGGAGGAGTGGGAAGATGAGCGAGAGGAGGAAGACGAGGAGGAGGCGAACCTCCTTGGCGCCCATACGCGTCGGTGTTGCGACGGGGCGGCCCCCGTCGCAGGGTAGGTCAACGGCGGGTTGTTGCCGCCGTCGAGGTGCGTCAGCACGCCCTCCAGCGTGCGGCCCGGGATGCCCCACCACAGGTGGCGTCCCACGCTGTTCTTCACGCCGCCGACCACCGGCGCGTCGTTGGTGGAGGCCAGGCGCTGCTGCTGGCGGCGCTGGAAATACGCCGCGCAAGCCGCGTGATTGTTGGCGGCGTACTGGGGGAGGGAGCGCTCGTCGTCGGTCAGGGAGGCGCGCGCGACCTCGACCTCCTCGGCGAGGTACGTTGGCTTCGCCACGGCGTCGGGTAACGGGGGAACGGGCACTCCCCCGTCGCCGAGCCACTTGCAAGTCCGGCGGCGCCGGGATGTTCGCCTGGAACAGGAGTCAGGACTCCTGTTCACGGAGCGAACGCCGGCCGAAGCCGTTCGCCGCCGCCTCGTCTCCGGGGAAGCGCTCTGCCATGGCGACGGGCTCGGCGGTGGTAGAGAGGGAGAGAGAGGGGCTGCCGGTGGCGCTCGGGAGAGGAAGACGGAGACGGAGAGAGAGGGGCTAGGCGGCGGCGAGGGGCGAGTCTGGTGTGGGCACCGGCGAGAACTGCCGGCTTTTATAGCCGCTCTGCGCCGTGTGTACGCGCGCGAGGGAGGGGAAGTGTTGGCGCGCCGTCCCGAGACACGCCGCCCGTGAGGAATCAATGGCAAGGCTGACCGGCGGCAGCCTTGCCATTGATTCCCCGCGGGAACCGAGGCAGTTGGGGGGAAGACGAGCCGCCGTGTCCCTGACGCGGCTGGCCCGCGGCTTTTTCACGCCAAAACAGTTCGCCCCGGCGCCCCCGGACGCCCCCAGCGCGCCGGGTTCGGTCTGGGTCCGTCGGCGCAGTTTTCGATACAGGCCGGCGAAAATCGGGCTCCTGGGACGCGACTGGACCGTTTTTTCGACGCCGGCGCAAAAAAAACGTCTGCGGAAGCCTTTTTGAAGGCGCGGCTGGAGATGCCCTAACACAGGCAAGCTTGCTCACTGCAATCTCGTTCCGGCGGAACATGCCAAGTCGTTGGACGGATGGCCGGATGGGTTATTCCAAAGTCGTTTATAACACACAATCATTTTTCTATTGTGGAAAAAACAGGATATTTTAAAAAAGGTACATAATTCTTTTGGAATTTTTCTGTTTTTCTTTTAAAACGTACTCTCTCTTAAGAAAATACGAGCATTTTAGCAATTGTGAACATTTTAAAAAATGGATTTTTATGAAATAGTGAACATTTTTTGATGTTTCCAAATAATTTTTACAAGTGAAACCATAAAGAAAAATAAATTAAAAAGTATATAGAAAAAAACCAGACTTGATCTTTCCAGAAGGTTGCCAAACTGGTAAAAAAAATAGTCATGAATCTTCCAGGAGGTTCCTACAACCAAAACGTTGTGTACACTACTGCCGCTAAAATGGGCCGGTATATTATCACATCGTTTGTTTTGCTAACAAGCTGACGTCATGAGTATCCGAGAGGGTTGTAATTTCTATGGCATGCAATGAAAATGATTTAAAAAATGCATCAGTTGTAAGTTATAGTCAACACATATAGTTGTGAGGAGTTTTTTTTTAGAAATTATATTTGTTAGGAGAGTGAGAGGCGGTTCATCCAACCCAGGTTGTGAGGAAGTAATCCAACTAGGGGTGAGTCTATGTCTCGCTTTATACCAGACAGAAGACCACATCACCTACATGGAGCTTGTACTGGTTCGGCCCAGTAACCTTGGGGTAACGTAGTGTCGATGTCACTCTAAAAGGTAATAAAATATTCATTGCACATTGTTTTCTGTTTAAATTCTGATATAAAATACATATATTGTGAGGGGAAATTTGGTTTGATTTTTAAGTGTTCATCACATTTCTAAAATGTAAATGAAGTCTAAAAAATCTTCGCTCAACTTTTGAAAATGTCTATACAATTCCAAAAAATACATTTTACATTTAAAAAATGTTCAAATGTTTCGAAAAAATGTTGCACGACGTTCTAAAAATGTTTTATACAATTTAAATAATGTTCATTTGTTTCGAACAAAATATTTGTGAAAATTTTAAAATATATTTATGCATTATTTATAAAATGTTTTCATTGTTAAAAAAAACTTTCATATCAAACCAAAATCATGTGTCAACATGTACTTAAAAATTGCTTAACATTTATTCAGAAACAAAGTTCAATACAACTATTTCAACTTTTTTAATCATGCATCTAAAAATGTAAACGTATATAAAAATGTTAGATGCCTTCGAAAAATGTAGAAGGTATATGAAAAAACTTTGACATAAAAAACATAGATTTTAAAAAATGTTAACGTGTAAAAAATAGTCCTAATGTATACAAAACATATATAATATGTATGAAAAATCAGACCTTTGTCGAAAGTAAGAAAAAGAAAAAAACGTGTGAAACGCAAATAAATCAGAAGAAAAAAAAGGAAAATCAAATAAGAAAAATCATAAAAACTGATTAAAACCTTAAGAAAAGTGACGCAAAACATAAAACCGCCCATAAAAAACAGTGCCAAATTATCACCTGCCGTTACAGTATTGAGCCCGCCCAAATACCGCCAAAGCGAGCCGTAATGGAAATGCGCATGGCCAACATATAGGTCCTGTGTCCAACTAGTCCCTTAATTGCGGATTTCATATTTGACATGCCTTGCGTCAAATAGATGCTTTTTCGCACATGAACGTGTGACCGATGGACGGAGTCGCTGGCCCATTTAGCTAGCCTAGCTAGGTTTTTCTATTCAGGTTTCTATCGGTTTTGGGAACCTTCTAAAAAAGGTTACTGTGTTGTTTTTCTTTTTGTTTGTCTCTTTTTACTGGTTTTCATTTCTCTTTTTTCTTTTCTCTTTTTCTTTCTTGTTTCTTTTTCTTTTCTCTTTTCATACCCTCATAATTGAAAAATAATATTTTCTTTTGAAAAAATGGTTGGAATTTCATTTTTTTTCATTTTAAGTAAATATTCGGAATTACAAATTTTGTTCCCTTTTCAAAAATGTTTGAATGAAATTATTCAGAAAGGGAAAAAATATTTGCAGTTTTAAAAATATGTTCACATTTTCAGAAAATCTTTCACTAACTCAAAAATTGTTTGGAGATTTAGAGAACGTCCCTGTTTTCGAAAATGTTTAAAATTTCTAATTTTGTTCCTGTTTTCGAAAATGTTCAAAAATCAAATTTCCTTGTGTAGCTCATCAATTCTATCTTTCCCAAGATAAGAGAAATACTGATTAGAAGCAGCAGCATTGTTGCACGCTAATTCGGCATAGCCATCGTCATTTTCGATCCCATACTATATATGGGCCGGTGTTCTTTATACAACATACTACTACACTATATATAGAGAGGTTTAATATTGTTCATGTCTACACTAGGAAACATATCAGTTATGGAGACTGCGTCATACTATATGTTCTACCAAAATAGAAGTCCATGACAATTTCTAGACAGAACCATCATCGGCTCACTGCGTCGTCCCCATGGGCGCGGCGGCAGCCATTCAGCTTATCACAAATGAATTTGAGTGGCTTATATCGCTCGAGTCTGGCTCATTGGAAACAACCGATTCAGCCTTTCCTAGTGGGCCTGACTTGGAGGTGCTTTAAAAGTTCATGCGACGTGGCCCAAACAGTGATTGCAAGCAACCAATAGCCCAAAAACTGGGTGGTAGCAGTGTCAGTTCTTCTCTTAGGAAAGATAGCACTGTCCAGTTAGACATGGAATCATTTTTCTTCTTCCATGTAGCGCCCTCTCTCTTGCCTTGTCGTCGCCCCCCTCCTCGCTCCTTCTATCTTAAACCACTGTTCTTCATCCGCGCCATAGGGCTGTCACTTCTCCGGTGATTGGCGGCGGCAACTCACCCCACATTAATGCGCCTCTCAACTTCTGCCTCTAGAGTCACGTGCCGTTTAATCCTGTTTAAACCCATTAACAATCTAACAATTCAAAAAGTGGTGTTTTTTGGGGGAAATGAACTATGGAGAAAGCTAAAGCTAACCCTGTTGGCTAGTGAGCTGGCACACTTATTATTCTACTTGGCACACTTATTATTCCATAATACCTGGAGTTGGCTAGTGAGCTGGAACGATGAGATGGCCGCATAAATGGTGACTTGGCACGACACCTGCTGGCCACGTTGGAACTGACCTGTGGGCCATGGTCATCAAATTTGCTTCAGCACGGCATCCTTAAGCTTTAGACCAAAGGAATTTCACATACAAAATCAATGGTGAGGTGGCGTGTCTGTTTTTGTCGAAAACAGGGTGACCCCTACCTCTACATCATTGTGATGCACACCTTGCTGTCATGTCTGTTTATACCTCATAATAAATCCACAACAATTAGATCCTACATTTCCTGTCACCAAGGAAAATGTCACATGAATAAAATTGCTACATAGTCTAATGTCTTGATGTCTCAACGCAATCAAACCATTACATAATTGAGTAAAAAATGTAAAAACATTGGTAGAGGATAATTTATTCTCCCAAGCCTTTAAGCAAAGCAACATCATCTGGTGCCGGACTAAAATCTCCCTTGTAGTCCCTCTCCTGACTATGATCTTCAGACTGTGCAACAATCTCAAGGAGGCGGTGCTCTACATGTTTCATATCTTGTCGTTCTTCTGGATTGGGCTTTAGACAATCCACGGCGACCCTGCTAACCATTTCCAAGAGATTGATATCCGCCTCACTTGTAACATCGTTATCAATAAAGTTTCTTGCTCTTTTTGCTAGACAAGCTTCAACAAAATTTGCAACATAGCTCCTCTCAGCATCATATGTTGCAGGCCTCCTTGTGATAAGTTCTATGAGGACAACTCCGAAGCCGTAGACATCGCTCTTCTGTGTAACGATCCCTTGCTCCATATATACCGGATCAATGTAGCTCATGTCCCCAATGACATGTTCTGTCATCTCGGCTTTTCCTCTCGCGAGTAGCTTTGATGTCCCAAAGTCTGAAACTTTTGGGCTGAACTTTTCGTCGAGAAGGATATTGGCAGATTTAGCATCACCATGACGGATTGTGCTCTCCCCTGCTGAATGCATGTATGTCAAGCCTTCGGCTGACCCGACAGCAATCCTCAGTCGTGTGCCCACTAGAATCTTATCTCTGCACTTGAAGAGGACATCATACAGACTCCCTCTCGCTACGAACTCGTACACCAACATGGGAACATCCACCTCTAAGCAGCAGCCTAGGAGCATGACAATGTTCTTGTGTCTCATCGCAGACTGGATTATAACCTCATCAGTGAACTCCTTCTTCATGTGCTTGTCAACCTCGATGGACTTCTTTATAGCCACCTTTTGTTTGTCTTTCAGAGTCCCCAGATATACCTTGCCAAAATGACCCTCTCCAACTACACGCTTGTAGTTATTTGTCATTTGTTTCATTTGTTTCCTTGTATAGATCCTTATGTTCTTTACACCTTTTAGTACCGGACCACCATTTTGTTCATAGAACCTTTTGAATTTTAGGAGTTGATGGACCATAACCATGAGGACAGAGACAACAATCATAGCAGCAAGGCCTGATAAAGTGCAAAGTAGTCAAGCTTTAAGTTTACTCATGTTCAGATCTTCATATATACAGTTACCAAGATAGCATTACACTTACATGATAGAATGTTCAATTAAATTGACATGCTATTTCTGCATAATCACTAAGTAAATAATTACATAACTAGTAAGTAACCTGATTTTTCTAAAGTAGTACTCCCTCGTCCTAAAATAAGTGTCCCCTTTAGTGCAAAGTTGTACTAAGTCAACGACACTTGTTTCTGGACAGAGGGAGTATATAAGACTTATGCGATCGAAACTGAAGCTACAGCTACAGGAAGTACATACTGAATTTATCATTATCGGCAACCCAGAACCTGGATGATAAAGGACTTCACAATTATTGCCACGCGTAATTTCTACATCAATTCTCAAACTCAATTCATTAAGAAACAAGCAGACATTGTCGTGGGAAAAGTTATGCACCATAAGAATAGGAATAGAGGGGGGTATTAGTCAAGAAAAATGTGCACATTTGATTTTGAAGTACCGAATTCAATTATTTAAAATCATAACAACAATCAAACTTTCAATTTTTTTTGACTACATCATAATGATAAATTCAATTTATTTTTGTTTCTGGTATCTACATTCTCCAAAATAACTCTCATGCAACGTTTCTCCCAAAAAGAAGGAATATGAAAATTTAAAGTGCAACTTAGCTAACATCAAGAATACACAGGCTGGTGGACTAGATTAGGCAAACATCACTTTGAGTATTGTACTTTTTTGTCATTGTATTTCTCGTGGTCATGGTTACGCCGATGCTGGCCACCTATTGTACTCTGCGTTTAACAAATCATGGTGGCTGTGTGCATCCAACATGCAGAGGCAGAGAGATAATGAAACTCTTAAATTTTCTGAATAAAAAAGATTAGTGCTTTACCCACAACCACCTTTGCTGCTAGGGGGAATTTCTCCGTACATGTTCCTTTTATGGCGTCCCCTTTCATTCCGGGTTTGCATCTACAGTCATAGCCTCCCAGCCTGTTCTTACAGATCCCATCACAAGGATACAAATCACGGAGATCGGTATTTTGTTCCCGGAGCTCGCACTCGTTGATGTCTGATAGAAAAGGATTAAGTATGTGTAGGAGAAAAGGATTAAGTATGTGTAGGCTTGATCTAGTAGCCAATTGTAAAAGAAATACTACCAAAAATGCTTGAGCAACGGTCCGCAGGATTCAACAAATGTAAGTAAATTCATCGTGTACATACCTTGGCATCCATTAGGAATGTAAGGGTTGCCATCGTAATGTTCCCAGCACTTGCAGAAATAGCCTTCGGCACTGGTTGCATTGACACAGGAGCTGTTGCCGTTGACGCACCTGTAGCCTGGACGGACAGAGCAGTCCGCATACGGACATGAACCATCCCTAAAGGCGAAATCGAGCACCACGGGGACACCCCTCGAGTACTTGTTGGATAGCACCTCGTAGCCGCGCCTGTCCTCCTCAGAGAAGTTGTACCACGAGCTCTCCACCACCATGCCGTAGGAGCAGGGAGAATTTTCCCAAAAAGTGTTATTCTCTGGTTCGAATGTCACACCAAACGAGGTGAGGATGCTTCCTTTTGAAAAGGCGACCTCGCAGGTAGGGCTGGCACAAAAATCTCATTCAGTAATAATTCGCAACGTTGCTGGCTCTCCCAATTCAGTAATTCCTAGTACTTAGGAGTAAATTTTACCTCTTTCTTATAGTACGATAAGATGCACAAAGGATATGTATTAAGAGTTTAAGACGAACGAAAGAATGCACATATATGGCGCAGGGGAGGCTTACCCGACTGTTGAATAGCATGTCGTATCGTAGCTCGTCGAGCCCAGTAAGCCGCTGCCCATCCTAGCTTCGACACCGAAGCCGACACTGATGAGAACGTTGCGCTTCTCCGACAGGTAGAATGGCTCACGCAGCCACGTAACCTGAAGCTTCAGCAGGTGGTCGAGCGCATTCGTGCTGCAGTCGGATCTCACTAGTCCGTACGCCCGTGCCTCGCTCTTGGCAATCGATATGTCCATGAGTTCCACCGGTGCTTCCCACCTCCTCTTCAGCGTCGGTTCCAACATGCTCGCCGAGTACGCGCCCTCGCCCATCTCGTTGTAGCAGTATGTTACTGCCGTCCTGTTGTAGAAGAGGAAGACGCGAGGTGGGTCGAATGAGTCGTTGCAGGTGACCTGGAAGCCCTTGACGAAGCATCCAGGCTTTATGCCGAACGGGAAGGGGATGCTGATGTTGCCACACATGGCCTGGCAACCCTCAAGCGTGATGGGTCGACGCTGCTGCTCCTGCTCTTCAGCACCAGCACCGCCCTGCAGGATCAACCGCTGGGTTGCTGCTGCTGCAAGGAGAAGTAGTAGTCTTAGAGTTAGCAATGGACTCAGCCGGGATTGCGAGGGGGTCGACGTCATGGCGCTAAGCTTCTGCCTGCCAGCCTGCCTAAGCTGCCTCTAGTGTTTTTGCTAACTCTAGCTGAGTTCCGATTGCTTCTGCTAGCATAGTAATCATGTGGGTAGAGGAGCCAAGATGAAAATATCAGGAGAAGTCGGCAAAATATCAAGAGAGGTCAAGTCAGCAGAGCTTTCATGATTTATTAATTATTAAGGTTGATACGGGTGCACGTAGCACACTTAAAAGACTGATCAAGATGGCAACCCGCGGGGTTTTGCCATGAAAGAAACCCGGTTCCATCTCCGTCCCCATGACAGGAACCTCAAGTCCTGAACCTGTTTTATACCCCCTCCGGTTTTGAGTATTGAGTTGTTTTTGAGACAACGAAGACCGATCAAGAGGCTTCAAAACTATGTGTGTGAACCGTTTACGACAACTGGAAGGAAGTCGCGTGTTCATAACAATTTTTCACACTATGTAAAAAAAAACAGTTTTTCACACTGAGGGCCATAGGGAGGGGCATTTCATCATACCTTGGAGGCGTGTATACACGCGGAAGGAGGAGAGGAGATCTTACTGCGCCACGGAGCAGCAGCTGGGGGAAGAAGCCCGTCATCATGGAGCCGCCGCCATGGCCTCGAGGGTCGAGGCTGAGATCGATGGCGGACACAAGCTTGCAGCAGCAACATGGGATCAATGGGATGGGATCCGTCATCGGTTCCCGTTGTCTCCGGTGCAGTCATCCCCATCCACCTCCTCATTGGCACCGCGGGCGTGAGGCCGGCCAGAGACATCGACGCCGCCCGTTCGCGCGTCATGGTCTTGCCCGGCCGTCTCTCTCCGGCCAAGCAACAAGTTCACCGGAGACGCGCGCGACGACGGTTGGAAGTGTCAGGCCACTCTGCTCCTCCTGGTGTCACCTTCGTCAGTTAGTTACAAGCGTTCCACTCTTCTTCAGTTAACGGACGGTCAACATCGAAGCTCACGTCAGGATCCAACGGCTCCGGTTGCTCGACTAAGCCTGAAGCGTTTTTGTTTGTAAACAAAACCCATGACTTTATTCATTTTTTGACATCGTTTATTAGGAGACGTACGGTTTCACCTCATCGACCCAAGAAAATTTAGCCAACCTAAGGCCTTGTACAATGCAAAGTGCTTAGGGGAGGTACTTAGAGAAATAAATCAGGCTTTTCTTAAGCACTGGTGTTTATTTGTATTGGGTAGGCGATTAATTAAGCGTCTGTCGTGTAGAAATAGGCACCGATGTCCACGAGAAGCAAATCAGTGCATCTCACAGAAGAAAAAAAATGTCATGCCTCTCCCATAAGCAAAATGTGCCTCTTGTGGAAAAACAATATTTTCCATGCTATTTTTTTCCAACTCTTTTCCTTCAAACTTAGGGAAAGCAATAGAAAACATCTAAAACCCGAAAACGCGTACATCAATATAAAATTAAAAAAATCTCAAGGGAACGCCCAGCACACGGTGACAGTGACTTAGAGCGAGCCAATTGACGTGGTCTCAGCCTACCAAAAATGACCCTTGCAGGCCTCCCGCAAGGGGTAACCCTTGGTTAGTTGCTCCCACAACTCAGAGACGGCTCGGCGGATGTAGGGAAGCCTCTGGGAGGGGTGCGCCTATACCTTGCTTATAGCGAGGAAACCTTTTGACCCGCTGAAGCTCCATGCAGTCGCGCGAGCGTATGGGCCAGCCCAGTGCGCGAGAGGCCATTGCCTTGTTTTTTATTTGGTTTTCAGGTATTATGTTTTCCTTTTTTACTTTCATTTATACTTCCATATATTATAAATAAATATATTACAAAAATACTTTACCTAAAACATTTCAAAAGAATGTTAAACATTTGAAAAATATAAATGAGCATAGAGAAAATGTTTCTCATGTGTACAAAGAATGGATACAAAAAATATATAATGCGTGTGAAAAAAGTTGATCGTGTATTTGAAAAATGTTAATCCAAGCATTTGAAAAAATGTTAAAAATTATTTAAAAACATGTTAAATGTGTATTGAAAATCTTCGACCGTGTATTAAAAAAATGTTAAGCTTGTATGTGAAAAATGTTAATCAAACATTTGAAATGTATGAAATGTGTTTAAGAAAATGTTGACCATGAATTCAGAATATGTTTAACCTGTTTGAAAAATGTTAATCAAAGGAAAAAAATGTTAAATGTGTATAAAAAAATGTTGACCATGGATTAATAAAATGTCAATCTACTATTCGGAAAGTGTTAACGAAGCATGTGAAAAAATGTTAAATGTACATAGAAAAAATATTGACCATGTATTGAATAAATGCAAAACTTGTATTTGAAAAAATGTAAAATGTGTATGCAAAAATGTTGATCATGTATAATTTATTTAAATCTGGTATTTGAAAAATGTTAATCAAGATTCAGAAAAATGTTCAGTGTATGTTCAATAAATGTTAATCTTATATTTTAAAATACTAAACGTTATTACAAAAATGTATTTGACATATACCAAAAAGTATATACAAAAGCAATGAAACTCCGAGAGAAAACAAAAGAAAAGGAAAGAAAATGAGAAAAAAACAAAAAACTGAAGGGACTGAAGAAAAAACAAAGAAAACAGAAAACATATGTGGAAAACACTTTAATATTTCCAAAATAAAAAGCAAGTGCTTTTCTAGTTTCGTTTATACTTCCAAATATTCTAAATAATATATTATGAAAACTCTTTAAATAGTTTTTTAATGTTAACCAAGCATTTAAAAAATGTTACATGTACATAGAAAAATATTTCTCATGTGTAAGAAAAATGTATACAAAAAATACATAATGTGTGTGAAAAACATTTATCATGTATTTCAAAAATGTTAACCCAAGCATTTGAAAAATTGTTAAGCAAGTATTTGAGAAAATGTTAATCAAACATTTGAATAAATGTTAAATGTGTATTGAAAAATGTTGACAATGTATTAAAAAAAGTTAAACTTGTATTTGAAAAATGTTAATTAATCATTTGAAAAATGTTAATTAAGAAAAATGTTAAGTGTGTAAAAAACATGTTGTCCATGCATTAAGAAAATGTTAAACTTGTAATTGAAAAATGTTAATCAAGCAGTTGAAAAATATATTAACTGTGGATAGAAAAATTGTTGTCCATGTATTAATAAAATGTCAATCTAGTATTTGGAAAGAGTTAATCAAGCAAGAAAAAAATTAAATGTATGTAGAAAAATATTTCTCATGGTTACGAAAAATGTATACAAAAATATGTTATGTGTGGGAAAAAAGTTGATCATGTATTGAAAAAATGGTAATCCAAGCATTTGAAAGAAAATGTTAAACAAGTATTTGAGAAAAATGTTAATCAAACATCGGAAAAATGTTAGATGTGTATAGAAAAATGTTGACCATGTATAAAAAATTATTAAACTTATATTTGAAAAATGTTAATCAAGCATTTAAAAAATGTTAAATGTGTAAAAAAACTGTTGACCATGTATTTAATAAATGTAAAACTTGTATCTGAAATTTTTTAATCAAGGATTTGAAAAAAATGTAAAATGTGTATAAACAAATATTTTTCATGTATTTAAAAAATGCCAATCTAGTATTTGGAAAGTATTAATCATGCATCTGGAAAATGTTAAATGTGCATAGAAAAAATGTTGACCATGTATTCTATAAATGTTAATGTTGTATTTGAAAATATTAAACATGTCGTAGAAAAATATATTAGATATGTACCAAAATTTGTATAGAAAAATAATGAAAACCCGTATGAAAACAAAAGAAAAGCTTTGAAAAATGAGGAAAAAATAAAACCAAAGAAAAAAGAAAAAAAGTGAAAAAAACCTAGTAATAACACAGAAAGAAACAAAGAAAAACCGATGAAAAAAGAAGAATAAAACCGGAAAACCATTGAAAAACCGGTTCTTTTTCTTTAACAAGGCCGCGAACTACTATGTTGACACGAATTAGATGGTGGCCTAGTGTCTAGTAGTGATGCACTCCTTTTTCTCTTGTCTACTCATTTTACGTATGCGCGAATGGATCGGCCCTCGACTGTAGACACTTCAGGCAAGAATGAAAGAAGACTCGCGATAAGTGAGATACAGCCTTTGCAGTCTTAGAGGCTTGTATCTTCCGCGTACCTTGGCCAAAAGTTGGCCAGAGTGTTCATGTGCGTGAATGCCAGGGTGCTGTTGAGGCCGACGTAGCCCAGGCCTTTGTGGTAATGCCCTTTCCAAAAAGTCGAGCCAGGCAAAAAGCAGCCTCCTTGATCGCGAAGGCGAACCAGCCACCAACACGGTTCCAGAACCCTGATAAGTACATGTTATCACATCGAAATTCAAGCTTGACCCGTAGCTCGTGTGCCTGGTTCGTAAGCTGGACATGCAACCAAAACGCTAGGGCATGCTGAAGATCCTGTGACCGCAGGACAGGGCGCCCATCTCCAGGGCTGGGGTGGGTGGAGGGGGGCACTGCCCCCACTCCACCACATTATAGCTAGCCAAATGGGACATTTTTTGGGGGTCGGCCCATGAGCACACCGGCATGGCCCGCCTTGGGCCAGGCACGGCACGGGCTAAACGATCCGGGACCGGCACGCGCCCTGGGCCGTGCCTGGGTCTGGAGGCTGAGCACGCGGGCCGGCACGACACAGCCCGATTAAGTTTTTTATTTTTTTATACATCTATATATGGCCCAACATGTAAAAATAGGCTAAAAACGCTCAGTGCGTCAAATAACAGGCTGAAAATATGCGGCCACCATGCTAAACGGGCCAACGTGCCGGCCCGTTTACTAACTGGGCCGTGCCTGGACCTGGGGGCGCAGCACGTGGGCCGGCACAACATGTCCCGTATAGTAATTGTGCCCTGGCGGGCCGTGCCGGGCCAGGCCGGCCCGTTTGTCCAAATATGCACCACATAGCTCCGTCGTTGCTTGTGTGGTTGAGTGAGTGAGATGGCTCCATGGGGGTTTTATATTGACGGGGTCGGGACTAGTATGTGACTCTAGTAACTACCGA